GGCCAGTTCACATGCAGAGGTATATATGGAACAGCAACAGTACAGTGATCACTACCTAGCAAGAGCAAGCAAGCAGGTATATATATAGATCACAGTACAAGCAAGGTCACGAAGTGAGCAAGTGAGACGAAACAGGCACAAGGCCTAACATAGTACAGAAGCGCTGATGATCACCAGACGGAAGCGCCTTGGTGAATATATCAGCAGTGTTGGCCCGGGTGGCCACATAAGAACCACAAAGTGCTCCAGTCTTTGTGCTCCAGTCTGTGCTCCTGACACAAGGTAATGGCAGCCTTGTTGTCTACGTACAGAACTGGAGGAGAACGAGGCCTCTCTCCCAAGTCGGTCAGCAGGTAGGTGAGCCAGCGTAACTCTTGTGCAGCCATGGCTGTGGCGTAGATCTCAGCCTTACAACTGGAGCTGAGAACAGAAGACGAGCGGGTAGACCGCCAAGAAATAGAGCCGGAACCAAGGCTGAAGGTGTAACCCTGTGACAACCGCTGCGTAGCCAGGTCGTTGACCCAAGACGCGTCTGAGTGTCCAGTGAGGACAACCTCACCCCGTCCTCCAAGCACAAGCCCCATGCCCAACGTACTGCACAAGTAGCGCAACACCCTCTTAGTAGCCTCCATGTGCTCTCGCCTGTGTCTCCCAGGCGCAACGTAGCGAGCCAGGATGCTAAGAGGGTAGGCAAGGTCAGGTCGAGTGTAGGTCATCAGGTACATGAGGCAGCCCACAAGCTTTGGATACGGGCCACTCGGCTCTACGGACTCATCCGAAGGCAGAGCTGAGAGCGAGCGAACGGTAGCCATAGGAGTGGACTGTGGCGAGGACCAAGTGAAGCCGAAGCGCTGAAGGACCTGCTGCACCATGTGTGACTGAGTCAGTGTGATGGTGCGCCGTGCTCTGTCCCGGGTGATCCGCAAGCCAAGGTAGCTGCGTAGCTCACCCAGGTCTGTGCACGTGTGTCTCTTCTGCAGCTCCGACTTCACAAGGGCGAGTGCCTCAGTGTCAGCAGTGGCAAAGACCAAGTCGTCGACGTACACGAGGATGTAGAACGGCGGCAGCGAAGTGTCGGTGCGCAGAAACAGCGACGGGTCAGCAGTGGAAGGGGCAAACCCAAGAGCCGCAAGTGTCGTCCTCAGTGTGTCGTGCCACTCACGAGGCGCCTGGCGGAGACCGTAGACCGGCCGCTGGAGCCTCCACTGGGTACCAGGAGGAAACGACCCAATGAAGCCAGGTGGGCGGCGCAGCCAGATCTCCTTGTGCAGGCTGCCCTGTAAGAAAGCTGTGCTAAAGTCAAGAGAGTGAAGCTCGTAGTCACGCTGAGCGGCAACGTGCAGCAGCACCCGAAGAGTGGTCATCTTCGGGGTAGGGGAGAAGATCTGGAAGAAGGTCCCTATCGCTGACTGAAGCCTCGAGCAACGTAACGTGCCTTGAAGACAGGCGGAGAACCCGGCGGCCGCTTCACCCTGAAAATCCACATGCCATCGACGATGTTCGCCCTAGGAGGGGGAACCTCATCGACGTAAGTGCCTGTGGACTTCCAGGATGCCATCTCTGCGTCCATGGCTGTCTGCCACTGAGAGGAGTACTCACCCGCGATCGCCTCAGCGTAAGTGCGCGGGGTCGGGATGTCTGGTGCATCCGGGTCTCCCTCCGGGGCAAGCAGCATGGCCACGAGATGAGGTACAGCAGCCGCAAGACACTCAAAGTCCTCCTGCCTGTCCTCAAGGACGTCCGTGCCAAGAGCACACTCACCCCCGACGGACGGAGGACAGACAGACTCAGACTCAGCGACAAGGCTAGCAGCGTAGTCTAGACAACAGGCAGCAGCAAAGTCAACAAGCTCAACAACTAAAGCAGACACACCTGTGGACTCAAACGAAGGGTCAGTAACAATAGTGGCAAGCAGACACGTGACAGTAGGGTGAGCAGCACGAGCGCGGTCAGACTCAGGGTCTGGAACGTCAGGCAGAGAAGACGCAGGAGGGGACGGCAGGGGAACACGCTGCGGAGCAGAGGAAGGACGAAGGGCCATGAGGTGCGTGCCGGGGACAGCCGGCGGACGCTCACGAGGAACACGACGACCAGTACGACCAGTGCGAATAGTGCGAGCAGGCGAGGCAAGACGAGACGCAGACTCACGACACTCAGCAAGACCTCCTGAGTGCTCAGTGTAAGGAGAAGGAGCAGGCAGTGGTGAGCCAGGCTGTAACGGAAGACCAGTAGAAGACGGGAGGCTAAGAACGTGGCGAAGCATGTAGTCAGGCGGTGGCAAAGACGACGGTGACAGCAAAAAACAGTCGCGGCTGTGCAGTGCCACCAGCACCAGTAGCGCCAGCGCCTCCAGCAGCTCCAGAACCTCCAGCTCCAGCGCCTCCAGCAGCTCCAGTACCTCCAGATCTAGCGCCTCCAGCAGCTCCAGAACCTCCAGCTCCAGCGCCTCCAGCAGCTCCAGAACCTCCAGCTTCAGCGCCTCCAGCAGCTCCAAAACCGCCAGCTCCAACGCCTCCAGCAACTCTAGAACCTCCAGCAGCTCCAGTGCCTCCAGTAGCTCCAGAACCTCCAGCTCCAGCGCCTCCAGCAGCTCCGGAACCTCCAGCTCTAGTGTCTCATGCCTCAGGGGCTCCAGCAGCAGCACCCCCAGAGCTAGCACCTCCAGCTCCAGGCTCTCCGGCAGCAGCACCCCTAGAATCGGAACCGCCAGTACCAAGGTCTCCAGCTCCAAAGTCGACAACACCAGCTCCAAGGCCTCCAGCCCCAGTACCTCTAGTCGCAGCACCTCCAGAAGCAGCAGTACCACCAGCAACAGAACCTCCAGCTCTAGCAGCGGAAAGAGGATGACCCGGAGAAACGCCAACAGACTCAGCACCCCCGGACCTGGTACCCTCTGGCTCAGCACCCCCAGGCTCCGCACCCGCAGGCTCAGCACCCCCAGGCTCCGCACCCGCAGGCTTCGCATCCCCCAGCACCTCACGCACAGGCTCAGCACCCCCAAACGCAGCACCTCGAGTAAGTAGCACCACCCCCAGCAGCACCAGAGTCAACCGCAACCGACTCCAGAGGCGGTGAAGTCGGTCGAGGTGGAAAACCCGGAGGGGTCGCCAAGCAGGGTGAGCGATGGGGGGGCACCGTGTCGTCAGCAGCAACGTCACCCCCCTCAGCTGGGCTAGAGGTGTCAGAAGTAACCTCGACAGGCCCAGCCAAGGGGAGCGGGTCTACCTGAGACACACCTGAAGGAGCAGGACCCTGAGGGGGAAGGGGGTCTACCGGAGGGGGACCTGGAGCGAGGAAAAGCGGTGGGGGAGGGAGAGGAGCAGTGCGGTAGGGGAAGAGACGGCAGAAAGGAACTGACTCGTCAAAGGTGACGTCCTGAGACGCAAAGACACGGCGCGAGGTGGGGTGGTAAAACTGCCAGCCAGGCGCGTCAGGGACAAAGCCAAGGAAGACACTTGGAATGGTGTGGGAGGAGAGCTTGTCCGCGGACGTATCGCGGACAAGGGCACGAGCACCCCAGACCCGGAAACGCGACGCATTGCCAACCTCTCCCGTCCAACGCAGTGTGGGCGAGGTCTCCGGCAAGAAGACACGGGGCCAGAGGTTGAGCTGATGCGCGGCGTACCGGACCGCAAACGGCCACAGAAAATGGGGAGCCGCTGCATGGATCAAGGAGGTACGAGCGATCTCCATGACCAAGCCAATGCGGCGCTCAGCAACCTCATTTTTCTGCGGTGAGCTCGGAAGCATAAACGACTGCTCGATGCCCTCCCTCTGACAGAAGGCCCGCAAGAGGTCGGAGGTGAACTCACCACCTCTGTCAGAGTGCAGACGCAGGACATGAAGGTACGTCCGGAACCTTGGGCGGAGCTGGAGACGAACTGCTCGGATCCAAGGGATCAGGACAGCAGGGACCTCACCCTTGGTGCGCAAGGGGAAGACCATGGTGTAACGCGAGTAGTCGTCGACAACCAGCAGAAAGTACCGCTCACCGCCCTGGCCACGAACGCGGGCTGGGCCCTGCTGGTAGAGGGTCTGCAGGGGAGCCTCTGTCGGGGGAAACGAGGAGGAGTGAGGAGCGGCGCGCTGCCGCCCCTCGACGCAAGGAAGGCAGGGCAGCACAGGCGAGGCAGGGAGGGGAGGGAGAGACCTGGGAAGACCAGACACAAGGAGGCGACGGTGCATGCCACGTAGACGTGGCAAGGAGGGGTGACCAAGACGGTGGTGCCAGAGAAGAGTCTGGTGCGACAGGGAGCGACACTCACACGGGGAGGCTACCAGACCAGACCTAGATACCTGACCGACAGCAGCGACCTGAGGAGACGCAGTCGTCAGTGTGTAAAGACTCGACCCTGGCCGACGAGTGAACGTGGCCAGGTGACGGCCAGTCTGTGCACACGTGCAGATCGCCACACGCTGCCAAGCAGGGGTGAAGGTATTAACCCCCACATCCTGAAGGGCAGCGTTGCTCACCAAGTTCGTCGAGAACGAGGGGAGGTGGAGACCTGACAGTGAGCCAGACGGGACCGCCGGGCACGGAAGCACAGTGGTGGACCGTGCAAGAACTGGGCCCCCTCAGGGGTCAGCCAGAGACACTGCGACAGGCGCAGGGAGCAGTGTGAGTGCGATACTGTCACGGAAGAAACAGCGAGAAGCACCTGAGTCAAGCGTGAAAGTGTGCAGTGCCTCAGGAGGCGCAGTACCGGAGAAAGCAGACTCGCCTGCACCTATGGCAGCAGCCTCTATACCTGAGTCAAGTGTGAAGGTGTGCAAGGCCTCAGCAGGCGCAGTACCTGAGAGAGCAGACTCGCTCGCACCTAAGGCAGCAGCCTCTATACCTGGGTCTAAGGCGGCATACGTAGGTAACAGTCACCGTCAGCACTAACTTCCAATGCATCATCGCATAAATAATAATAGCATCAAAGTCAAGAGCAAAAATGTCTACACCAGCCTTAAGCAGCCCATGCCAGCAAGGGCGCTCATACTCCTCGCCCATCTCCTCACACCAGGCGTCGGTCATCAAGGCGGGAGAAGCAGCGGTACTGGGTGTGAAGCTTGTTGCACGTCTGACCCTTACGGTCACCTGTACGAATGACATATGGGTAGCGACCACCACCCCCAGACTTCCGACGCTGAGCTAACCACTCACGAAGCTGCTGAGACGTCTGGGGACGCTGCTGCTGCTGCTGGCTCTGGCCAGCGCCAGTGCCTCCACCCCGACCGCCACCGCCGCCGCCACCCCCCCCCCCCCCCCCGCCGCCACTGCCTCCACCGCCGCTACCACTCCCGCCAGCACTCCCGCCACCAGGCCCTCCGCCACCTCCTCCTCCTCCACCTCCTCCACCACCACCCCCCCCGAGGCCACCTCCACTGCCCTTGGCTCCCTTGCCCTTGCCGTTGCGGCGCCTCCCACTAGGAGCAGAAGCAGCACCAGCATACTCAGCACCATGGAAGACAACAGCAGCAGCAGTAGCGAAGGAGGGGGCGAGGGGAGAGGGAGAGCACCCCTCAAAGATGGGGGTGCGAGGAGCGCCGCGAGCAGCACCTACAGCAACAATGCTCTTCTCTGCTGCAAGGAGGCACTCCTCTAGGAGGTCTACAATGAGGTCGGTGGGACTGCGAGCAAGAAAATAGTCTCTGACTGAGCGCAGAGAGTCAGGGAGGCGGGTAACTATGAAGTGGAGGGACCAGTACATCGGAGGCGGGTTCGTAGTACAGAAATGTGTGGGGAGGGCGGCGCGAAGGCGAGTGTCACTAGTGCGAAGGTGGGTGATGAGATCGGCGACCATGGCAAAGGTGGACAGCTCAGGAAACAGGTAGGGCAGCATGAGGCGGCTAAGCTCAGCTATGGCAGGAGAGGTGTATCGAGCAACTACAGCGTCGTACAGGGCCTTAGAGGTTTTGTGCTCGCCAAAGTGCGTGAGCGCGTTCGGCTAACGGCAGGTGGTTGCGAACGGCTAGGCGAGCAGCAGCGTCACGAGTCTGCCACTGGGAATGGGCACTAAGCTCAGCGGTGGCAGCAGGAGCAACTGAGGCGCCAGTGGCGTGGTCATAGAGAGAGCCATTGTCCTTGCTATCGCTCATCAGGGACAGCTGCAGGTCATCGAGCCAGGCGTCAAACTGAATCGGACGGCCCTCAGCATCGAAAGAAAGAACACGGAGGGTGGCCATGGCTGTCAGCGTGAGACTAGCAGGGCAGAGCAATGGCAGGCAAGAAGCAGCAGCAGGGGTGGCACGCTAGAGCGCAGCAGGCGGCCGCGGCAGAGGCACGCGGCGCACGGGCCCAGCAGGCAGCTGCGGTAGCAGGGCGGGCGGCGTAGCAGGTTGCCACGGCAGAGGCAGGCGGCGCGCGAGGCTACAAGCGGCCGACAGGGCAGCAGGGCAGACCGCGCGCAGAGCGGAGCTGGCGGCTGCAGGAACAGGGCGGGCAGGTTAGAGGCAAGGCTACAAGCGGCCGGCAGGGCAGCAGGCAGCCGCGGCAGCAGGGCGGGCGGCTCATGGGGCGTAGTAGGCAGCCGCGGCAGCGCGCAAGCTGCTAGCGGGCGGCATGCGGGCTGGTAGGAGCCGCGCGTAGGCTGCGCGTGCAGTTGGCGGGTCGCGCGGGCTACTAGCAGGCTGCGCGCTGGCCAGTAGAGGCAACGCGCAGGCCGCGTAGGCTGCTAGCGGGCCGCGCGTGGGCCCGCAGAGGCGACGCGCGGGTCGCGCGCGCAGTGAGCAGGCAGCGCGCGGGCCAGCAGAGGCGACGCGCGGGTCGCGCGAGCTGCTAGCGGGCTGCGCGAGGGCAAAATCAGGGCGTGCACGGTGCTGCGCGACGCAGGGCAGGGTAGGCAGGGCGCGGGGTAACGCGGTAACAGTAGGGTGGGCCCGAAAAAATATCTCCTAAGGTCCTAAGGACCTCCTGCTCTATATCATGTCACAATAGTAGGTAGGGGAATGACTAGAATGTCGAGTGATTTTGGTACAAGGAAGAACCCTAAAGGGTTGTACCCCAAATAGTTTACCCTACTACAGCCTACCCAAATTTATATCATACATAGATATGTTTGACAGCGCACCGCCCCCGGGGACCTCCGCGACCGCCCCCGGGGACCGGCGCGCAGCCTCCTCCCCCCCCCCCCCCCCCCCCCCCCCCCCCCCCCCCCCTTCTCCTTCGTCTCCCAGCTGCGCGTTTGGCAGTGGGGTGGCGGGTGTGGGGGTGGCTAGTATGGGGGTGGCGGGTGTGTGAGTGGTCCCCTGCTCCTCCTCCTCCTCTGTCTCCCACTGCTGCAGCTGCCGCTGAGGGGGGTGGATGTGTAGGAGTCGTGGGAGTGGCGCTAGAGGGGTGTTGTGGGAGTGGAGTTAGGGGTGCAGCACAGGGTGTGTGAAAGGGGTGTGGGACAGTTGGGGGAGGTTGATCGGAGGTAGCCGTCGTGACGTCTGCAGCGCCAGTAGTCATGGGCCCTTGCCACTGGTAGCCCAGCGAGCCTGCTGCGCCAGTCGCCCGTGGGTCAGTTGCTCCTGCCGCTCGTCTTAGCCGCGGAGCCAGTTACTCCTGTAGTCCGGGGCCCTTGCCACCGGTAGCCACCGTGCGCGCCGCTCCTGTTGCCCGTGTGTCTGCGGCTTCACCCGTCGCCTCCTATCTCCACTCCTCTCACAATTCCTCCTCCTCCTCACTTGCCCTCTGTGACTGCCTCTAGCTTTGCTTGTGCTTGTGAACTTATTCTGCGACTGCTTGCTGTGCTGATTATACCCCACTTTGCCTATGGGGGTGTGTCAGAATATTATATTGTGTAGGCTGTAGTGGGGTATGCTGTAGTGAGTACAACCATGTTTGGGTTTCCTACTTGTATCCCACCTGCCTGATAGTCAAACCCCTCTTTTGCCTATTCTCTCTTGCCTAGCTAGCTAAACCCTAGCTATGGCTGCTGCTTTTTAGCTACTGTTTCAACAGTACCCTCTCTTCTCCCCTTGCCTATATCTTGTATGCTTTCCATATTGAAACCCCCTTCTTTTGGCCAAACCCCCTTCTCGATACCATCGCCATGCTCCTACCTCCAAAGTCCTCCTAATCCCCTAAGTGAACCCCAGACCAAGGAGACACCCGAACGAGAGGCTCGGGTGCGTATTGATAGCATAATCGGGTAGACTCACCGTGAAGGAATGGTGGTGGCACAAGCTATGATTGACATCGCAGCTCACAACGTTATGATATGAAAAGGCCTTGCAAAAGAACGAAAGATGCGCTTTCCGGAAAGACTCACAGAGTGGTTGATCCTATAGACAACAACTAAAGGAGGACAGTACAGGGTAGTGGGCCAAAAGCCAGCAAGAAAGAGAAGCGACACAGGCTCTGGGAGAACAGCACAAGGGGAAGAAAGGGCAACATTGTCAGAATCTCAGCCACTAAACCACTGGGATAAAGGGGCTTGTTTGTGTCGCGGGTCCGTGCGCCCATAACCCCCCATGCGAACGTGCATGTAATCCTCCTAGGATCAATCGGGGATCCCACAGTGCATATTTACTAACAAGTAATACAACTTTAAATGCCTGCTAATGTACTGTGTGGTGTTACAACTTATGCTTGCCTTTGCCTATTTGTGAACCTTTTTTGGCCATTCTATTGCTCGTTCCTAAACATAGGTTCTTAAATAACCAAGTGCTGATATAACCAAAGGATTAAGTAGATAGGATAAGATCTGTTAAGTCTGAGAGGAGACAATGAAGTCTCTGCGGTGATCTTGTTGAATAATGGTTGAAAGAGAACAAGATGATCAAAGGATAGGAGTACAAGAGATTAAATAGCAAACTAGCTAGCCATGTACTATGAGGGGTACATTCCCTTATTAACTGTATTACATAGCTACAGTAACTGCGACTATTTCCTTGCTCGACAGTTACCATGTTGCAGCGATAAACTATCGCGCGGTTACTAGATGGTCAAGGGTCACGACCGTTGACTACCCTCGACGGTTGACCTTCGGGTGACCCTCGACCTTCCGCATGCTCTATATGAGCTATTGCGGTACTAGTACAGTGGAGCAGCTTCGGGAATGCTTATATAACCTTTCGGTTATTCCAACACTCCCCTTCATTCCTAAAGGTGAGCCACGTGAGATTTCTTGGTGATCCCGCAGAGTTTGGCGCAGTGCTGGTATTGCTGACGTGGTAGTTTCTTCGTCAGGAAATCAGCTGCCATGTCACCGGTTGGGCAGTACGTGAGATTGACTCTCCCCTTGTTGATTTCGTCCTTCACGAAGTAGTAGCGAAGGGCGATGTGCTTGGTGCGGTTGACGAAGCCGGGCTTGTTTGCGATTTTTATCGCGCTCTGATTGTCGCAGAGTAACGTGAAGTGCCCGTTCATCGTCACTTTCGCCTCTTGCAGGAGCTCCATCAGGTACAGTCCTTCGCGAACAGCTGCGCTGGCTGCGATGAATTCTACTTCTTCTGACGAAAGAGCGATGAGTTCCTGCTTCTGGGAGTTCCAAGAGATGAGTCCAGCAGGTTGGAGTTGGAAAATGAATCCTACGCGGAGCGTCTGTTGTCAACATCTCCTGCGTGGTCAGCGTCTATGTAGCCATGGAGCTGCAAGGTAGCGGTGAGGTTAGCTTCGTAGGTGAGACCGACGTCGGGAGTGGAGATGAAGTATTGCAGCGCTCAGCGTAGTTCCAGTAGGTTCTCCGCTTCAGGTCGCTTCAGGTACTGGGCGAGCTGGCTGGCAACGTAGGAGAGATCGGGCCAGCACATGACGGCGGCGAACAGGAGACATCCCAGCAGCTGCTGGTAGAGGCGATGATTGTCGGGGGAAAGCGGCGTGGTGTCGGGCTCGTGGTTAGGAGGAGGAGTGCGATAAGGTGTGGTGAGGTTGATTGGTGCGATGGCGAACCGCTTCGCGAGTGTTTCGGCGTATTTTGCGGCGGAGAGGTGGATGGAGGAGGCGGACTGAGTCACATTGAGGCCCAGGAACTGTGTGACGTTGTGGTTGACCGTCACTTCAAGTTTTTCTTTGATGTCGGTCTCGAACTGGTCCAGTACCTCCATGTCGTTGCCGGTGTAGAGGAGGTCGTCGACGTAGGCGACGAGCAGGATGAACTTTTCGCGCGATTCCCGCCTGTACATTCCGAGGTCATGCGACGGCTGGGTGAAACCGAGCTCGATGAGTAAGGAGTGGAGATACTGCTGCCACAGACGAGGTGCCTGCTTGATTCCGTAGAGGGATTTTTGGAGGAGGCACACGGTGCCATCGTTTTCTTCGAATGCATGCGGCTGCTCGACGAAGATGATGGCATCGACGGGAGCGTACAGGAAGGCATTGCCGACGTCGATTTGCCGGAGTGGTCGCTGTTTGACGGCGGCGATGCAGATGAGAATGCAGGTGTGGCGGCTCACTGGTGCATAAGTGAGAGTGAAGTCCACCAGGTGCGTTTGCTCAAATCCCCGCACCACCCAGCGCGCTTTGTATTTGTTGACCGAACCATCCGCAAGAGTCTTAATGCGAAAGACCCATTTGCCGCTGAGAATTTTCCTCCCCTTTGCCGATGACTGGGGGACCAATTTCCAGGTGCCACGCTTCTTCAGCGACGCGATTTCGGCGGCCATGGCTGCTCTCCGTTTTTCACTGTCGGGGCCGGACAGAGCTTGGCGGACAGTGGTTGGTTCCTTGAATGAAGTATGGCGAACAGCGACGGCAAGTCCGAGGACGCGGAGACCGGTTTCGTTGGTCTTTTCGTAGTGGAGTCTATCGTAGTCGTGGAAGCTGGTAACTTCAACTACGTCATCGTCACTGTCGTTGCCGAGGCGGAGGGTGTCCTGCGACGTGTTAGGTTGTGGTAACTCGGCATCCGGGGATCGG